CATTAGAAATAAACGAAAAAGAAATCAAAGATATGGGACTTGATGTTATAAATGACAAAAATACTACAGTAGATATGAAGTGTCTCAGTAAACCAGAAAATAAAGCACTTCATTATGCCAGAAAGGCTGTTGAAATAGCAGAAGACATGGCTGAGCATAAAGCAGAAAAACTCTTTAAACCATATGAAGAAATTAAAATCCAATTATTTATTGAGTCTGTTAGAAGAAAAGTATATTTCACTACAACAACATTGTTAATGAATAAATTAAATGGAAAAGACTTTACTAAAAAAGAAGCTAAAATGCTTATTCGAGAAGTTGCTAAGAAGGTTGTTAAAAAGGCTAAAAGACATGATGCTGTTGATGAGTACTTAGTATTAGAAAAAGCTGAAGACGAAGAGACTAGAAAAAAATTAACTGCAATTTATACAAAAGAAGACCTTAGTGAACAATTAAAACTTAATAAAATCAATGCTCTCATTTATTCATATGAATTACAAAAAGCTAAACATGATATTCCAATTCAGAGACAAGCACTAAAACAAGCTACTATTAAAGAAGAAGTTAAGTTACATGGAAATAAATTAATTGATAGTGTTGAGAGAGTAGAGAAAAGCGTCAAAGCATTAAATAAGATTGAAAAAGAGATTAAAGTTCAAGAGAAACAAATCAAAGCCGCACAGAAACAACAAAAAAAATCTGAAAAGAAAATAGAGAAGATTCATCAAATGAAGAAGAAAGAAGAAAAAGTTGAAAAAATAATGGATAACCTAGAAAGTCCTAAGTGTGTTTTTAATAACCAAACCCATATTAACAACTCTACTAATTCATCTACTAACACAACACATATTAATAACTCCACTAAGCCATTTACAAATACAACACATGTAAACAATTCAACTAAGTTATTAACTAACAATACTCTTCCAACAAATACAAATTTCACTAACGCTAATAATAATAAAACCATTGAAATTAAAACTAATCAAACTAACCCAGACATTAAAAAAGTAAATACTACAATCCCCATCCCAGAACCTGTTAATCATAATTTAACTCCAGAACAAAAAGCACGTGCTATTCATCCAACAGAAAGTTACAGTAAATTTAATAAAAAGAGTGTTAAGAAAATAGTAAAGAAAGAAGAAGTCAAAAAAAATACAAGTACTAAAAAACAAAACAATAAAAGTGTTAATCCAAAGAAAGAAAGAAATTCACAACCAAAAAATAATAAGAATAAAACTCTTGGACTCACTAAATTTATTAATGGAGTTTCTAAAGTCACTCACAAACTTGCAAAAAAAGCAGAAAATAGAGTAAGTAAAGTTGTTAAAAAAATTGCAGGAACTTCAAAACAAACAACAAAAAAAGACGACATTACGAAAAAACAATTAAAACAATTAAAAAAATCAGAGAAAGTAGTGAAAAAAACTGAAAAAAAACAATTAAAGAAAGCAAATAAAGCAATTCAAAAAGCTGAAAAAAAAGGACGTAGAATGATCAAAAAGGCTGCTACAATAGCAGGTGTTAAAGCTGGAATTCAAGCACAAAAACAAGGGTTTGGTTTTGTCAAAACAGCTCGTGTTGTTGCTAACGCTCAAATCAAAGCAGTAAATAAAACTCAAAAGAAAGTTGAAAAAAATATTAAAAAAGTTACTGAAAAACATGCCATCAAAGGAAAAGTTGCTGTTGATCGTGTTGCACAAAAAGAGGTGACAAAAGTTAATGCTATTGCAAAGAAACAAAAATAATTTGATTTCAGTGTTTATCTATATTCTATCGTTACAATTTATATTCTTTTTTATTTATTTCATTGTGGATTATTCCCATTTCTTCATTACTTTCCGTCATTATGCTCATTTCATCCATAATATAAGGTATGATTTGCTTTTGGGAATTTCTCTTCGATGATTTGAGAAAATACATTCATCTGAATGATGAAGAGTAGATTTGATAATGAATCATCTTGTAAAATTCCTCTATTTAATTTAATATATCCTAGATATTCATTAAATTTATAACCGATGAATATCTTCCATCTAGTCATCATACTTTCAATTATGTCAATGATGACACATTCATAATTAAAATATTTTAATGATTCAATTACCCATTCGTGATTTACTGTGTCAGATGCTTTCTTAATGTCATAATATGACTCCACATATTTTGGGTATTTCTCTTCTTTCTGCTGCTTCATCATATAACTATTAATTATTCCTTCTTTAGCAGCTAAAGATTGTAACTTACATCCCAATTGGTTGCTACTAATTTTCAATGATTCACAATTCATGTTAAGTCTTCTGTGAATCTTTTCTTTTAATGTTGAGGTAAATACTTTCATAATTACATTTGTACAACTGATATGACGATAATTAGTGACATCATTCCTATCTCCTCATTTGTGGATTAATAAAGTTCTTCCACTTACCATGTCTAATTTGATGTTTTGAATGAAGTTCAACCATTCGTTAAAGATATTGAGAATGATTTCTCATGATGATGACATCCTTTTCAAATAATACCCGTATATAATGTCTATTCCTGGTGATTTCCAGTTACTTATTTTCATTATACTTCAATTTAATTCATTTATTGTTATAATGACACTATCATGATTTCTATATCTTTCATTCAATAAGGTAATTTGTTTTATTTTCCAATTTTCTTTATTTAATATCACCTGTGTTTCATATAACGATTTCAAATATTCTAAAGTAATATCGTTATTTGGGTATATTTCATTTTTTATTTCTTCCTTATTCTAATTTTCTTGTTAGAATTAAACATGATTTTATTTGTATTGATTCTGATTATTTCTTCCTTATTAAATTTAATTCTTTCTTTAATCATTGTCATCATATATTTTAGGTATTTTATTCTTTCTAGTGCTTTGACTTTTATTCCTTCTTCATCATTTTCTTTTAATTTCATGATGCACTTGATTCTGTACCATTTCCTTCCCTTGACCAAATCTTCTAGTCTATTTATTTTATTTAGTATTTCTTTTATTTCATCAAATTTATCTCTTATTATTTTATTTTGGAGATAGAGGTGCATAACCATTGAAATCCTCTTCATATCATCTTCCACTTCATGCATTCTGCTTCCTGACATTATCCAATCTATTATTAATTTCCATTATTAATCGGTCAGCTTCTTTTCTTTTCCAGTAGTAATTAATGTTTGAACATTTTTCTATTTTCATTTCTTTTATTTTATTGATGAGAGTGTTAAGGTATTCTTCATCAATTTCTGTAGAGTTATTCTTTAATATGATATTTTTTATTATTGAATTACACTCTACTCTTCCTTCCATTATATCATTTAATTTCAATTTAATGTATTGTTTAGTGCTTTCTTTTATTTTATGTAATATTTTAATATATTTAATATATTCATTTTCATTATTTACATTGATGTTTGTTACTTTTATTATACTTTCTATTTGTTCATTTCTTAATTTCTTATATAATTTCTTATTCAACCAATTAATTGCAAAACAATACAACACTTCAATTAAAAATTTATTTCTTTCTTTTGTTATATTTATTCTTGTATTTTCATTGTACTTTGTTTGTTATTTATTATTCTTGAAATTTTACATCTTTCATTCATTTCTTTAATTTGTTTGTTTTTAATTTCTTCTTCAATTGTTTTAATATTTTTCCTCCCGATCCTTTTGTTTTTTCTTTATTTTCTTCTTTAGTTTTTTCATTTATCTTATTCTTTCTGATTGAATATACTTCTTGAAGCATATCATACCATCTTTTCCTTTTATCTTCTTACTTCTTGATTATTTCTTCATACTCTCATTTATTCCATTCACTTGTTATTCTTTTTATTCTTCTTTGTATCTCATTTATTATTATTCATTTATTGTTATTGTATTATCTTTATTATTATTGTATTTTCCTTGTATTTATTTGTTTTCTCTTTGTATTGTTCATCTTTTAAATCCTTTTTCCTTGGTATATCATTTACCATTATTATTGTTATTGTTATGCTATTTATTGCTATTGGCATTCATTCTTTTATTGTATGATGTTGGTTTTCTATGACTTGTTTGGTTTTCTTTATAATACACATTGATATTACACAATAATCATTGAAATAAAAATTTGTTGTATTTCTTGCATTGGAAAAATGTCTTAAAAATTTTAAGAAAATAAGAACTAATAGAAAAAGAAAGAAGATGAAACAAGTTAAAGTATCATTAATAGGAGATTCTGGTGTTGGAAAAACGAGCCTTCTTTCCAGATTTATTAATAACACATTTTCACCAACAACCGAGTCTACTGTTGGTGCTAATTTTTATATGCATGAGTTTCTTATTGATGGCAAAATGACACAAGTTGCTTTATGGGATACAGCAAGTCAAGAACGATATCGTTCTTTAGTGTCAATGTATTATAGAAACACAAATGGTTGTTTAATTGTTTTTGGTTTAGATAATCGTGACAGTTTTTATAACATCAAAACGTGGTACAACAGTCTTGTTAATACGGTTGGTATGGATGTTGCTATTATTATTGTTGGAAATAAAAATGATTTACCTCAACCATCTGTCACGCAGCAAGAAATAAAAGCTTTAGCTAATGAACTACATTGTTCTTGGTGTCTTATTTCTGCTAAAACTGGTGATGGTGTTTCAAATGTTTTTGAAACTATTGCTAGTAAGTTACATATTTCAAATGATGATGAAAGTGATGAACAACTCCAACACGAATTAAATGATTCACATTCACAAAATGTGTGTTGTTAATTTATGTACGTTTATTATCATTTAAATATTATGTGTATGAATGAAATAAAAGAGAAAAAGATGAATTTATTAACTTAAAATGTTTCACTTCTATGTATTGTTTCTTTTCTTCATTAAAACTTATTTTGTTTTTATTTTTCTTCTTCTTATCCTTTCTCTCTGAAAAATTTTATCTTCTTAAAAATATAACACAAAACTTAATACAGAAGATTTAAATCACCACTTTCTAACACACTTATTGAGAATTCTTAGCATCTCTTAATCTTCTAACAGTTGATCTAACTGTGGCTCCTGAAATGGTTGACAAAGTGTATGCTCCTCCTGCAATTTGTTTCTTACATCCTTTGCATTCCCAAATTCCACATGCTGTTCTTCTTACTGCTTCTTTACAACAGAATGGACAAACATATTTAGAGTGTTGTGCAATTTCAATTTTCTTGATGACTTTACGAAGAGAAGCACCATATCTTGTTCCGTATTTACCAACAATACCTACTTTCTTTGTTCGTCTAGCCATTGTAAAGTCACACTCTTACTTTTTAGTTGTTTTCTAAAACCTATTTTTTTTTTAAGGGTTTCTTCTCTATTTTCTGTTAATAATTATTATTAATTTATATCTAGTATAAGTATAATTTAAATTAAATAAAAAAATAAGAAAACAATCTAATGTAATTAGTTATTAATTAATGGAAACAGCCACTGAAGCAAATAATGATTTTGATTGTGATCTTCCTCTCCCATTAGATGGTACAGAACCAAATTCACAAAGAGGAAATTCAGTTGTTTCATTTGTGTCAATTTTATATTCAATGGTAGATAGTAAAGAAAATGCCCAATACGTTTGTTATAATTACTTCACAATGAGTTAATAAAATAAAGAAAAGGTAAGTAATAATTAAAACAGATACGTTGGTGTGAAAAAGATCAAGGACATTCATTTGAGATACTTGATGCAGTAGCATTTTCAAAAGAGGTATTACCGAAATATTATAAACATACAAATTTTTGTGGGTTTAGTCGACAATTATCATTGTATGGATTTAAAAAAGTTTGTAATCCTTTTATTCAAAGAAAATTAAAATTTGAATATTCTCTTTTTGTCTACACGTTGTTTTTTGAACGTTCTACACATCTAGTCGTTTAAAAATAACAAAAAGAGAAAAGAGAAATAAAAAAAAACATTTTTATTAAAACATTATATTAGAAAAAGGATAATTATTAATTGATATAGTTTGATAATGAATATAGATTTCAAAATAGTAATTTCATCAAAGGACATATGGAATTACTTAAAAATGTACAAAGAAAAAAACCACAATCACAAAGAAAAAAACAAAATAATACTACATTACTTTATCAACAATTATTATCTCAATTAATGCAATTACAAAAACAAAATTTAGAAACAGTTACTCAAATTAATACATTAAAAGAAATGTTGTATCAATTAAAACTTAGAGAAGATTCTTTAGAATTAAAGATGCAAAGATTACAAGACACATTTATGCCAAATCCAAGTTCACTTGCTTTTGGATTTAATCTGATGCCAATGCCTTCTCCAAATGATACCCCAACATACCCTCCTTTTCCATCTCAAAACAATAATCAAGGGATGAATGAAGATGCTACACCTGGTGCTAATGAAACTAATGTTGGTAATCATGAATCACCTAATCCTTCTCCAAATTTCGTGCATTGGGGAGACTCTTCACAACAAACTTCTCAACTTCCATGGAAATTTTAATTGTAATTACAAAGAAGATTTTATTTGAAGCGTTGGAGTCTTCTTTTTTGATATTTAGTTTTGAATTTTTCTACTGAGTAATAATTAAGAAACGACTTTTTTAATTTCTTTTTCAAGAAGAAGAACTTAGAAATTAATTGTTATGGAACCACTTAATCAACACAACACTCTTTTACCTAAACCTTTAGATATTGTTAGTAGTAATGAGATAGATTCAATAGTTCTCTCATTAGAAGATAATGTTATTGGAAAATTAATATCATATAGAACACCAACTTCTATTCTTGAAGTAAATTTACCACATTCTAAGGTTAATGTTACACGATTATCAGAGTCATTAAGAAAACTTCCTCAATTAACTCATTCAACATTTTGTGAAACAAAACCGACTGAATGTTTAGGATGTTTTTTCTCAGGAATAATAAATATTGATTCATCTGCTTCAAATTTATCAAGAACTCGTTCTCCACTTCCATTAGTTAATTGTATTGAAAAAAAAGTTTCTGAGTTAAAGTCTTCAACTTCTAGACAAAGAATTGAATTTCCATACTCTCATCAAAAAAGTAAAATAGAAGCACCAAAGGGTTATCCTATTATACCTTTAAAACCTTCATGTCTTCCTTATCCACCTCAATTCTTAATTCCACCGCAAAAATCATACTTACCACGAAAAGTTAGATTACATAGTTTACACCATAAGAAAGTACAACATGAAGAGATTGTAATTAAAGAAACACCGAAAAAGAATGATACATTCATATATATCACTGATTATTTAATTCTTGAGTCTTTTAGAAAATATTTTAGAGGTATTAATGTTCCTTCATTTATTTCAACGGTTACATATCAATTAAATAATTATTCTTATGACTTTGGATCAAATAATATTATTAAAAGTTTATGTGATTCATTAGAAATGCTTAGAACAGTTCAAGTAATTATGGACGGATTAGATAGTGGTAAATTGACTATTCCTAATGATGTGTTAGATCCTGTCGAAAGAACTCTTGTTTCACAATTGTTAAATGAATTTTTTATTCCACCAAATCCATTTATTAACCCAATTTCATCACAACAAACTCCAGTTCCTTTAGAAGTACCAAAAATTATTCTTGGTGCAATGAGAAATCATATGAACAAATCTGTTGAGCTAACATTAGAAACATCATGGAATGTATTAAGTTTATGGGAAGATTATGAATTTGCACCGTTTTCATATCAAAAAGAAATAAATTATTTGTTTATAACACAGGAAGGTATTGACCAAGAAATTGTTCATACTATTATCAAAGAGTTAGAGTTTGATTATAAAAATTTCAATTTAGGTAGATTAATAAAATACAGTGAGAATATTATTGTATCAAATATATTTGATGAATTAGAAATGCTTGAAGTTATTAAAAATCATTCTCAGGAAATAGATAAAAAGATTATTGTGTTATATGATCCTAAAGACAGTAATGAAGAAGAAATTATGTGTAAAATCATTACATTAAAATGTCGTTTAAATGAGGGAGATTGTAATCATTATGGAGATAACATAATTTTTATTTCCCTTAAATCAATTTTAAAAGATAGTTTAAGAGAAACCTCAATCAGAGTTTGTTTTTCACTTTATTCATCTTATAGAAGATACCAACCTACTCAATATCCAAATTCTGCTGCACAGGCATTACCTGATTTTACTCAAAATGGTAATTTACTAAATGAACCATTATTTATTATTTCACCACAATATGACAATGTGTTTTTTAATAAAATAATGATTGGATATAAAGTTAAACCATGTGGAATTATAAGTTCATTAATTAGTTATACTGGGGAATTACAAGAAATGGGATTTGATACTTCAATTCAAGAAATGTGGGATAGGTGGATATGTTTTATTCAACAAACAACAAAAAGTCATTGGGAAATAACATTTACTAAAGTTGGAGAATATGATAATGATGAAATGAAATTAATGTTTGATTTAAAAGAGTCTGCTCTACAACAGTATAAAGATTTAATAGACTCTATTTTTATTAGTTGTTGTAATGTATATGGTAGTGTATTAGTTTCAGAAGAAGAATATCAACTATTAGACAACAATAAAGGTTTTTATAAAATTAATGATGAATTAGATCCCCCAATTGAAATAAAGGGAGAAGGAAGAGCAACTTATTATACTATTCTTCCTTCATTAATTGGAAAAGGGTGTAGTGTTGGTGGATATTCAATTCATTTGTATGATTCTAATGAAAAAGAATTATCTACAATGATGAAAATTTTTCATGGATTGTCTTTCCTTAACAGTGATGTATTGAAACAAGAGAGATGGTCTATTCTTCCGAAACATTTGCATCTATTACAAAAATATGACCTTTATTTAGATATGGTTATGTTGTGTGAACATTGATTGTGGTAAAAACAAATTGTTATTTTGGTTTTCTTTTAAGTTTTTGAATCAAAAGGTAAGAAATAATCTAATCTTCTTTAAGAACTTGAAATTAAATCAACTAAAAAATTAGTACATTATGTCTCTTACAGATACGATAGATCAAAGAAACAAAGAAAATGAATATTTTCAAACTCTTTCTGAAACAGAAAGAGTTTGGCCTATGTTAAATTCTTTAGTTAATTTAATTGATACCAATCAGTTTAAAAGTGAGTATGTACCAATGTTATTAGAACATATCCGTCAAGTTAATAAACAAGTCATTTCTTCATATCCATTTATTGGTAAAATTGAAGTAGTTTTATTTCAAAAAATTTTTATTTACTCACAGGTAAATGTTTATGACAGTTCATTATTTGGTCTAGCTGAGCTTCTTCTATTTTTTCTCCACTGTAAGGTAGATAAAGAAGTGGTTGAAGTATTCCAAAAAAGAAACAAAGAAATATTTGAGATGATGTATGGATTTAATCAAAATTGCGTTTCTATTGATGAGGTAAGAAAGGTATATGTAAGTATTCTTATTATGTTTCCATTATGGGAGTGGAATAAGTTATTAGTTCATTCCATAGAAATACCATCAAATATTGACTCAATTGAATTTATAAATCAAAATGTTCCTTTTATAGGATTGGAAAACATTGGAAATACTTGTTATGTCAATGCTAGTCTTCAATTACTTTATATGTGTAGTTCATTTAGGAAAAATGTACTATCTTCATCTACGTTACTTGGGTCTATATTTAAGAAATTAAATGAACAACAGAGTTATTTGGTATTGAATAAAGAGATTATTGAAAATGTTTGTGGTCATAATATTATTATTGGTGAACAAAACGATGCCTCTCTATTTATCAATGACGTTTTGGATGTTTATAAAACTCAAACACAACAATGCCCATTTCTAGTTAAAACAACAACTAAAATGAAATGTTTAAATTGTCAAAAAGAGAGGGAAAAAACAGAAGATGCATATTCATTGAGTGTAGGAACAGAAAAGAGTATTACTGAAAGTGTAAATAAATATTATGGGACTGTTGATGATATGATATTAGAATGTGATGAATGTCATATAAAAGGACCACATCAAGTTAAATTTTTTAGTAAAACAACAAATGATTTTTTAATTTCAATTAACAGAGTTACTTCTGAACTTAAAAAGAATGATGATTTCATTGAAATAGAAACAGAAATGTTTGGTTTTCATTTTATTGGTGCAGTTATTCATAGAGGAAGTTATATGTATGGACATTACACTACAGTTGCATTAGGTTATGACAATAATTGGTATTGGTTTAATGATAAAGTTGTTAATGTTATTAGTAAGGATCAAGTAAAGAAAATGTGTTGCGGAGGGATTGTGGGTGATTGGAATGCTTCAATCCTTCTATATACTAAAAATACAGAAATGATACCACCATCGCCTCAAAGGAGTTATTGTTTTAATCAAATGATAAAGAAGTATATAATAGATTCTCCTCTTTTTGAACAAATATTAAAAAGGTGTCTAGAAGGTATTTCATTTTTATCTGAGGAAGAACAAAGAAGTTTTATAAATAAATATTCAACTATAATTGATAAAATACCTCCTTCAGACTCATCTCGAATAATTCTTTCAGAAACAGTTGCAATGAAATCAAAATTATTTGATGAAGAGATTCAATCATTAAAATTAACACGAAAATACATTATGACTGGAGAGGGAAAAGAATCTCTTTTTTCATTAATCTCAATAGAAGAACCTAAAAATTTATATATTCAACAAATAATATGGTTAGTTGTTTCAACATTTCCAGACAAACTACCTTCAGTATTACCTAATTTATATCAGAGAGTAGTTGATGTATTATCTTGCATTGATGGTTATAAAATAGAATTAGACCTTAGTAAAATTAATGATTTTATTTCATCCTCAATGCCTTTACAAAGACATTATTCTGAATTAGCAATATTCCATGATATGATATCTTTAATGTTGTATGACCTTAATAATACTCAATACTCTTCACCGATAATAGATATAACAAGAAAATTAATAATGACTCTTTTTTCTTGTATTGATTGTTATCCATTGTCAATCAAATATCACATAATGATTATGAAACGTTATTTTGGAACAGCCTCAGACACAATAAAATATAATTACTTAGCTATACTCATAGATGTTTGTTTATTAATTCTTTTAATATAGAAGAATAAGTTATTAATTAATTTAGTCATCTGGTTCATGGAAAAAAATTTCATGCCTTGTAGATGGGGTGTTAGAAGTTTTATGTCAAACCCCACTTTCTTCTGAATATTTCAATAAATTAATAAAGAGGTATGAATCAAATAAAAAGTACATAGAAGATTCCTTATCACTAAGTTTTGATTTGTTTTTTGCTACACAACAGTCTTTTCGTGATATTTAAATAAAATATTGTTTCAATTAAATAGGACTTCATTATTATTCCTTTCTTTCGTTTTTGTTAGAATGAAAAGTCAAAACAGAGATTATTTTTATTAAAATATTTGAGGTTCAAAAATTGGATTGAGAACTAGAAATTTGTAATGGAAACAGGAAAAGGAAAACTACCGCCTCATCCATTTGCAAAGCCATTCTCTAATAGATATTCAACAAGTGCAGAAGGATTTTATGAACAGTCTTTGCAATTGAGAAGAGAACAAGAAAGATATAATATGATGCAACAAGAAAGGTATTTATTAACAAAACAAATGTCTTATTTAGATATTATTCCAAAGTGTTGTGGATATCCACTTCCTTCATTATTTGAACAACAAGAATATCAACCAATTGACTTTTTTATTCAACCATTGCCATCAGTAAATGATAGATTAGGAATTACACCTGAATTACCTAAATTAACACAAAGTTTGTTATTTAACTTTTGTCTATAACTTACTCTCTTTGGTTTTAACCATCTTTTCTTGGTTAATAGTTGGAAAATGATATTTTATCTTAATACAATTAAATAGTTTTTATTTTTAAATATATTCCGTCAAAAATTAAAAATAAAAACTCACTCACATTTTTAGGAGAATTACTTACAAGTCAACCTAAACATATATTTCCAACCACTTCAAATGTTCAATCAGATAGGAAAGACAATTTTACAAAAGAAAATGAAGATAAAAATGAAAATAATGTTGATGATGATACAATTACAGAAGTTGCAAGTGAAACAGAAGAAGTTTTAATAGAAACAATCAAAGAAAAAGAACAACCAAAACAAAAGAATAAACGTAAAAAAGAAAAACCTCAAAAAAAGAAGATAGAAGTACCAAAAATTAATGAAGACACAGACGAAATCTTTGTTCATGAAAAAAGAAAAAGAAGAAGTTACAATAGAAAAAATAATGGAAAACGAAAGAAAGATCCAAATAAAAAAGAAATTGAAGAAGTTCTTGAAGAAAATACTTTACACACAGAATGTATTCTTTCTAATGAAAAAGATGTAACTGGGATTGATGATGGATTAAACAACCTTGGCAAAGAAAATACTCTAATAGAATTGGCACAATTAAAACCACCAATATTTACTAATGAAGAAAAAGATGAAAAAAGATTTCAAAGTGGAATAGAAAAAATAAAAATAAACCTTAGTAATTTAACTGCAAATAAAAAGGAAACTGACTCAGTACCAATAAGGTTCCATGACAATGTTGTAATTGAAAATAAAGAAGAAATAGTAGAATTAAATTTATTACCCTTAGAAAATGAAGAAAAGAAGTTTCAACACTTAGAGTTTCAAGACGAAAAGAATATGTTTGTTATCAATGACAACGCAAAGCAAGTTCCAGAAATATTAATATTACAAGAACCTTCTTATCCATTGATATCTTGTAAAGAAAAAATACCAATCATCAATAAAAAAATAAATTATATCTGATTTTGTTTTTAAGTAGTATCTTCTTATTAGTTTTTAATAAAGATAAAGAAAGAAAAAACAAATAAAATTAAAAAGGAAGAAAAGAATAGAAAGGGATAAGATCAGTGTTGTCATAAGAATAGTCATAATTTAATAGATTGAAATAAGGAATGTCATGGAGATAATTTAAGTTTATAGGTTGTGTTGGTGGTAGAATCACATTTGAGGATGATAGTGGAAGATTAGTAAAAGAAAGGAAAGAAGATGGTGAATTAAATAATGTGTTTTGATTAAATTGAATAAGAGTATCAGTTTGATGTTGCTCCATAAGACGAAGAGTTAATTTCCCCATTTCAATTAATTCATCTCTTCCAAATATTTCACCATCTTTACAAACACTTGTAATTCTAATGAGTCTTTCAGTCAAATGTGCTGTTTTAACTTTCTTCTCAGAAAATGTATATCCTTCATTAACAAGTAATGAAATAACTCCATTATTTATTTGTGCTTCTTGTGTACGTTTCGCTTGTTTCTTTGTCATTTCTTTAATTCTTTCAGAGTCTATTCTTGTATATCCAAGTGTGTTTAAAAGAGTGTTTGAAAGTAAACAAATATCTTGAACTTTCAGAACATTTCCATTTTTACTAATACTTTCTGGAAGAAGCATTTTAATTGTTTTACTTGTCTTTTTTGACCTTTTAACAATTACTTCATATCCTTCTTTAACTAATAAATATATCATAGCATCAAAATTGATCGTCTCATCATTTCGACTACTCCTTTTCCTTTCTTTTAGAATCTCACTTCGTTCCGTTCTTTTGACTACTTCTCCCATATTTATTATCCTTCTTCTTCTCTAGTTCCGATCTCCTTTTATTTGTTCCCTCAACTATTTTTATCTTTTTATCTTCTTTCTCATTGGTCACTTTTTTTCTTTTTTCTTGATTTTATGTTCACACTTGATCATTATTCATTAAATAGATGGATTAAGACTCTTGTATTTTTTCTTCTGCACCTCTTTTCAACTTCTTTTCTTTTCTTTTCTTCTCTATTCTTTCTCCTTCTTTCTTATCCCATTTCTTTTTGTATTTGAACTTCTTTGAATAACAACTTTTCTTATATATGTTTTATATCCCATTTTTCTTGTTTTTCATTTCGGGATCTATAAATTAATCAATTATAAAGATGAATTAATGGATATTCCTAAAACTTATATCCCTTCTTCTGATATTAATATCTATTATTAAAATAGTTTAAAAAATATATTCTCTAATAATGTGACTAACCAAAAAGCAAATATATTCATTTATTCGCATTTAACTTGTGGACAATAGTTGAAGCATTCGATAATACTTCTTACAGTGGGTAACACCCTTTTAAAATCTGGAACAGACTCAACGTCAAATTGAGTTATTGAATCTTTCATCCATCCCATCATTACATCTTCAAACTTCTTTGGGTCATCACATAAAATAGCTTCCCAATCAGTCTGCATTCCTTTTGGAATGTGTTTATTAATTTGGTAATTTAATGACGCAAGCATAGCCAACATAAACACAAAACCTGTTGCAGCCGTACCACGACTTAATGGCATGAAGTTGTACCAATAGAATGTGAAATCAAACATAGCTCTTAACAAAGCTTCTTCCTCACCCTTTTTTCCTTTTCTTGTTAATACTAGTCTAACAATATTCTTCCAACACTCTGTTAATTCCTCGTCATATAATTTCCATCTTGGCATAGTACATGGTGTTTTAATAGCAAATTCATATCCTACTGGTTGTTTAATTTCAACAACTAATCTAGTTCCTTCATATGTTCTCTTAGTGCCAGGTTTGTCAGGATCATCAAAGTATAAAGATTTGCAAGGTGTTATGACATGGAAATCACTTTTTATTATATCAAGAATATCTTGGATATTTTTAGCTGTTTGAACTTTTTTAACCCATTCTTCTTTTATCTTCAATTGCTCAGGAAGTAATTTCTTTACAATTTCAAATGCACGTTGATACTGACAATAATATCGAACAACTCTTGTTTGTCCAATAAACATTGGTGTGTGTGATCCAAATCCTTCTTCAAATTGTTCATGAGTCAATAAATCAATCCAATATACTGGGTCATTTGGCTCTGATATTTGTCTCCATTTAACGGCTATTTTCATAACATCTCTCCAATGAAGTTTACCAATATATGGCTTAGCTTGTTCTTCAGTCAATCCACCAAACACCCATTCTGGGAGAATATCTCTTATCTTTTTAGCCATTTCTATTGCAGCCATACCAGCCATAAGATATTGTGCCTTGTTGTGAACAAAACCTTGAGAATCATATTGCATATACTTACCAATGTTCATTGCAGGAATAATAACTTTATTAATAACGTTTTGACTTGGAAGTGATTTTTCATCAACGTCAGATATACTTTCTTCAAATGGTGGTTGTTCTTCATATCTATGAAGTGCAGCAGGAATAAGATGTTTGCAAAATCCTTCTTTAAAGAAAGGATAAAAAGATTCTAAATCCCATTCTTCAAATGGTTTGTTTAAGTGGTGATGTGTGTATAATGCAATTTCCTTCATATACCATGCAGTATCATCACTTTTAAGTTCCATGGCACATTCAAAATCTTTGACAGCTAACCTAAACTGTCCAGAAGCAGACCTAGTGACACCACGATATCTCCATGCTTCACACATTCTATCTGGATCTTTTGCAATCCCAGAAACTGGTTCATTTCTATTAGTAATGGCAAGTGTAAATTCTTTAATAGCAGCTAAATGATATCCAGATTGTTGATAAAGAACTCCACAAATATAATGTCCATTAGAATGATTTGGTTGCATTCTGAACAACTTATTGAAAACATCTTTTGATCGTTGGAAATTGCCTGCATCTTTATGTAATTGAGCTAAATTTACATAACATTCAATAAAATCATCTTTAATTTGTAATGCCCGTGCATATGCATCAGCTGCCTCAGCAACTAATCCAAGAGCATTGTTATTTAACCCAAGATGATTCCAAGAATTAAAGTCCATTGAGTTCTTTCTAACAGCTTCTCTAAAATCAGCTCTTCCCTTTTCATAGTTTTTAAGCATTTGATAAACGCTTCCTCTCTGTGCATAACAATCACCATCTTTACCATTAGACAATTCAATAGCCTTATTAAAGTCTTCAAGTCCTTCATATAACTTTCCACAAGCAACAAGGGTTTGTCCTCTTCTTTTATATGCATCTCCACACTTTGGGTCATATTTAATAGCAGATGTAAAGTCTTGGATTGCTTTTTCAAAATTACTTAACATTGCAAATGCAGTACCTCTTCCTAAAAAGGCACCAACAACATTAGGATATTTGTTTAAGAATACAGTAAAATAGTCAACTGCTTCTTTAACTCTATTATTGTTAACATACAAATATCCCATTGCTAATTCTTTATCAATAACTGGGTTATTAGTTCCATTTTGTAATTGCTTTGTTTGTGCAACATATTCAGCAGCCTTTAAAGTTTCACTTTCATTATTTGAAAAATCATCATCCTCATCAACCTCTTCAACACGAAGTACTTTCTTAGGTGTGTTATTACTAGCATTAACCTTTTTCTGAATTACTTCTTGTGCTTTTTTTAATTGTTCTTCTTCAAGTTTCTTTACTTTTTCCTTTTCACTTTTGTTTACTTCTTCTTCTTCTTTAGTAGTATTATTTGTATCAGAACCTTTGTTTTGTGACTGAATTGTTTTATCACTATTAACAGGATTTAATGGACTAATTTTCTCTTGTTCTTGTTGAATTGGAAATTCTTCGTCATCAGACTCACTTGAATAAGAAGACTCATCAGACTCACTTGAATAAGAAGAACTACTTTCAGAAGTGGTATAACTAGATTCAGAATCTTCATGAGAACTTTCATCAAATTCTGGATTTCCAATGTTGAGAGTTCCATAATTTTTAATTTGAAGCACAACAACACCAACTTCATCAATTAATACTTTGAGTTGGTTAATGTCAATTTGGTCGAGAATTTTACTGATTTTAGTGTTTTTATTATTAGTGGACATAAATGGCTATTTCAAGATCTATCATCATCAGTATTATTTTAAAGATAAAATTTATGCTGAAAAAATTTATTGAAAATACCTGCTTCTTGAAGAAATAGAAAATACCTTGCATAATTATATTATTATTTTTATTAAGAAAATTAAAAATGAACTATAAAATTCACTGAGAAATATTTGAAGATGTCAAAACAAAAAATAACAAAAATTTTTATCAAAAACAAAAATGAAGTTCAACCAAATGTATTTGACTCTGATGAAACTGAAGAAAACGAACAACCTAGAGAAAATGTTTTTGAAGAAGAAGAAAGGATATTAAGAGAAGAAGGTAATTATATAGAAAGTGATGATGATGAGTGGTATGACCAAACAAAAAAAGAGGATAAAGGAGAAGAATTAAGTTCTTTTGAAGATTTAATAAAACGATTAGTTGATGTTAAATTTGAAATTTATGTGATAGAAGAGGAACAAAAAGAAATGGAAGAAGAGGTAGATGAATTAGACCAATTTATGAAAATGAATGAACACCAATTAAAACATGAGAAAAGTGTTAATGAACTAAAAGAAATAGAACGTAGATTAATTGAGGCTATTAACAAAATTAAACCAACAAACAAAACATGGGATGAAATTAATTCCAATATTAATAAACAGCTTAAAATAAAAGAATTAGTTCGTGGGTGTGTTGGAATTAAGAGGAAACCAAATGAGCCTATCCTTGAAACAAAACGAAAAATTGAAGAAGATACAGTTTCTGATGTAAAACCAAAAGTAGATCAAAAAGGAGATGGAAAAAGTAGATTGAATGAACTATATGGATATTAATAAAAAGTATTATAAGATAATTCAATTATTAATTTAATTTATATTTATAATTTATTTTATTATTAAAAAATAGTTTAATAGGGTTAAAAAAAGATATTTAAAGAAAAAGAATCTTATATTTTTCATTATATTATAGCAACAACCAAAGTCGAATGTTTTAGGGCATTCAATATCTAGAGTTGCATAGAAATATGACTTTTAGCGGGGAGTCTTTTTTAGAAAGCCTCTCGATACAGGGTCGTATATTTTAGTTTATATAAAATGTAATAAAATAATCTATTTTTCTTTTAATAATAATAAGACATACTTTTTCTTTGTATCAATATTTTTTATTTATAACAAATGACAAATATTAATAATAATTAGAAAAGATTATTTATAATATGTTTTTTTATATATCTCTTTTTCTTAAAAAGAGGAAGTTATATAACAAAATAAGAGTAAATACAAATAAATTATTGTTTTTATTTATTATATTAACAGTTTAGAAAATCAAATAATATTCTCATAAAGTGATAAAAGAAAATTTAACAAATAAGAATTGATTAAAATTAATATTATAGTAACACAATTACCTAGTTTTATGTTACATTAATTATTTATGATATTATAATAAAAATGATAAAAGTCTCAAAATTAGATGATAAAACAGAAAATAAAGAGTTTGAACCGAGTTAATTCAAAGTATCTTTTACTGCAAGTTGTCTAAGATGAGTTAAGAAAGTATCAAGATTAACATCTTCAGTAAAGACAAGATCATTTTTATTTTGTCCTGGAGCTACAGCAGGGTCAAGAATAGTCATTAAGAATCTTTGATTTCCAGAATATTGGTTACAAACATAAATTCTTGGAGCAGGAATTCTTGTTTTAGATAACTCTTTTGCGTCTTCTTCTGGTAAAGCATAATAATCTTTTAATCCAGCATATTCTGGTTTTTCTTCTAATTTTTGTTTCATCCATTCTGCAACAGCATTACCTCTAAAGACAACAAGATAGAAATATGTGTCTAATAAAAGAATCTCATCAGGTTTGACTGACTGAAGAGATAACAATACAGGCACTGGTTGTTGACCATATTTATAACTATCTAATGTTGGCTGGATCATAGTTAATGTATTATTAACTGTTTCTCTATTTAAGGTTGCTCTAAATACTGACGTTTCATCAGGAGTACAATTGAAAACTTTTAAGAAATGACTTCTTCTAAGATGGAACATAAATTGTGGATAAATAGAGAAATTTGGTGATAGTTTAAATGAATTTGGATCGTCTTTTCTGAAATCACCAAATCGTTGACACATTTTAATTAAACTTCTATCAAGCCATCTTATAGCTTCTCTTGAATCTTCAGTTTCTGCTTTATAAGCAGCATACCGAGCCATTAAAGTAGTAGCAGCTTCTTGATCAAATCCTGCAGCTAATTTTTCAAATCCTTCTTGAGATGGGTTTGTCCACATTCTAGAACTAGTAGTAGCCCGTGTACATTTTCTACCTAATTCATCATAATAAGTTGTAATAAACTGAATAAATCCTACCTCATTCGTTCTTTTTGGATTAGTCTGTGGATTAGTTACATCAAATATAAAGGCATAAGATGTATTCTTTAATGCAGCAGATGCTTTCCATAATGAAGTTCCTCCAACAGCTACTGAAGTTGGTGATACTGAACTAGTCTTCTTATTTCCTGAAGTCAATGGACCTAATGCACCACAGACCTTCATTTCTTTACAAGTTTGAACCTCAATAGCAACGTTACTTTTCCATACTTGACCATCAAATAAACGTAATAAAGTTTCTCTTAAAGCTTCATGAGTATAATCTTCAAAATAATAAGCAATTCCTCCAGTTCCTTCATACAACTTTCTCATTTCCATTAATCCTGTTTGATCCATAGAACATGCAAGGATAGTACATGCTGATTCATTTTGAATAAGTTTATCAGCAACACCATCATAGAATTGTTTAGCAGCAGCCATATAAGGTGTATTCTCATTAACAATATCTTGATGACATCTTAATGTTTCATTAAGTGATGTTCCAATAATTTTTCCTGGTCCTTCTGTGCAAGGTCCAGCAACAAAAGCAATAATATGACCAGACATATTAACAGCTTTTAACATATTTTGTGCAATATCAAGTGCAGCACCAGTAGCTCTTTTTGGTCTTTCAGTTTGAGGTACGTCAAATCCATCAACTTGAAGAGATTCAATAATTGACATAAAAGTAAGTTCACATTGTTCTATAGGGATAATATATTGATTAGAATTTGGAGAAAGTAATAACCCACATTGAATAGCAATTGGTGAGTTAACTTTGTTAGCAAAAGCAACAGAAATAAGACAGTCACTTTCACACATCAAATTATGTACAGTAACACATTGACCAAATGTAATTAATCCAATTCTAGTTGTTGGTGGAAGAAGTGAAATAACTGTAGTTAAATTAGTTTTTAACTCTTCAAGTTCATGTTCAGTACAGGTAGTATCAATAACAAATATGTAAGTAGGAATATATCTAATATTTTCTTGTACGTCTCTATATTCAAATGTAGTGACTTGAAGTTCTGGGAGATTTTGATATTGAAGTTGATTTCTTGTTAAACAGAAACAGCAAGTCCACAAATTACTGTTATAATCAACAGAACAATAAGGATTAATAACAGCCCCACAATGACTACATTTAATAGGAGCTCTATCTGCAACTAAAGGTTTTGGTAATAATGGTGAATATAAACATCCAATAGGAATATGAAGATTCTTTCGAGCTTCTTGGCTAGTACTTACCCATGTATTCCAAGTAAAACGGATTCCATCTCTTTGTTCGACCTCATCAATATTCATCACCCTTCTATTTAATATTTTTTAGTTAAAGTTCTTTCTATTTATAGTATCCCATCTTATAAAATACTTTGTTATTGAAACCAAAGAAATAATAATTCAATTACTCCCTATAGAATGCAAGTAAACGATCAGTAGTAAATGCTTGTTTCCCAGTAAATATTAAATGTCCTTTTCCACTAGTATCTCGATATGTACTGGAAAATGACCAATCAACAGTTGATTCATTATCTAATGTTTCTACAAAATAACATGAATAACATCCTACAATACAGGTTGAACTTTTACTTCCAGAAAGACATAAACTTTTACTATATTTGTTAACTTCTCTAGGAAGAAATTTAGTAGGATTAATATTGTAAATATTTCTAAGTGTAAATACAAAATGATTTTCATCATTTTTAACATATACAAATCCATCCTTCTTTTCTTTAGGAATTTGTTTTGAGTGCCATGAACCAAAGATTGATTTACCACTTACAACTATTATTAATAAATTTTTTCTACCACATACTTTTTCATTAAAACCTCTTGAATCAAAGAATTGTTGTGAACTATCATATATCAATTTCATTTGAATAGAAGGAATCCATTGCTTAAGAACTGTTTCATATTTTGATAATCCTACAATTTCAAAAGGGTCTTGAAAAAGATTAAGAGACAATGGAGTGAACGTAGTAGATGGATTAGTTTTACCTGGACTTTTCTGTTTGATGATAGTATCATCAACTGTTTGTCTTCTTAGTTTTGTAGTAGATAGAGAAGACTGTTTGTGGTGCTTAGATAAAAATGAAATGACAGAAGGATTAAGGGTTGTTGATTCGGTTTTGACTTTCTTCAAATTATCAGCAGGAGAAGAGCATGACTTTGAATAAGGTTCAAGAAAAGAATTAGCAGGATTACAAGGTGTTTGTGGTTGTGTAGCAGATTTAGACACACTCTCTGAGCTTTGGAGACCAGAAAGTTTTTGAGGTATAATAAGGCGTTGGGTTTTAGTATCTAAATTGTCTTGTTGAGAAGAAGTATTTTTATGAATAGAAATTATACCGTAATTATTAATTGTGTTAATAGTAATGTTACTCATAAATAATTAAATCTTTTGATACTTTAAAGATGACTAAATAATTGATTAAATTTATATTCTCATTATCGTTAATTATATTCACTATCATAGGGTTCTAAATATGAATAAACCTTTATAGAACAGTTTGAATTTTTGCTTTTAATCACCATTAGATTCAAAAAAAACTTCATTGATTATTTATTAACTTTTTCTGGTTTGAGTCTTTTGGGGGTTTGTTTTTCTTTTCAATATTCATTAATTTCATTAATTTACTTTTTTTAGTAAAAACTAATATGTCTTATCTTGTTTTTAATAATTAAATTCTTGTAAAAAATATTATTAGTTTTATATTTCTTCTAGTTTGCAATGGAAATACATGTTTTTCTTTTTAATTCTATTTTCCTATTGTTTAACTCATGAGAATTAAATTTCAATAAAAATCCGATCTATTTTAAATGAATTATTTAGAATCTTTCTTAATATTCTTTTATTCTTTTTTTTAATATGTAAATATGTTTAAATTATAAGTTACTGATTTGTTTTCAGTTAGTGAATATGACTAAAACATTAAAGAAAATTATAATAAGTGAATTATTAGTATTTCTCAAAGGATTTCAAATAATTGTTGGGTTTATGTCTTAATTATAAATATGAAACTGACTTAAGAAATTACAATTCACTAATAATAAGTCTTATAGAATATTTCATTGAAGAAGTATTAAACAAAAAATATTGTTTTTATTAAAAAAAGATTTTCTTTCAATAAATTCATAAAATTGTTCTAAAATACAAAAAAGAAATATAAGATATTTGAAAAGGAAAAATTATATTTATTTAAAAAAAAATTGTGAGAAGAGGTAGTTAATATGAAAAGTATTCATATTAAATATTATTTGTAATGATTTTTAAAATATTATAATAAATGTCTATAATTGAATGATTCTATTTTTGATAAATTTAACAGATGACTTTTAAAAAAGAATTAAATTTTTACATTACAAAACATAATTTTATCCTAGTTATTGAAAAAAATATTATTTACAAAAAAAAACTTTTTAATTAATAAAATATCTTTTCTTTTTTGATTATATAATATTATA